ACAGTATGGCACTGGCATAAAATATAGATCAATGAAACAGAATAGAGAGCCTAGAAATAAACCCAGGCATAGATGGTCAATTAATTTATGACAGAAAAGCAATAATATACAATGGGGAAAGGACAGTCTGTTCAATAACTGGTGTTGGGAAACTGGACAGCCACATGCAAAAGAATGAAACTAGACTACTGTGTTACACCATATACAAAATTAACTCAAAATGAATTAAAGACTTGAAGGTAGGACCTAAAACCATAAAACTCCTAGAAGAAAACATAAGAGTAAGCTCCTTGACATGGTTCTTGACAATGAGTTTTTGAATCTGACTCTTAATAGCAAAGGCAACAAAAGCAAAAATAAACAAGTGGGACTACATCAAACTAAAAAAGTTCCTGCACAGCAAAGGAGACCAACAAGAAAGTGAAAAAGCAACTTAACTGAATGGGAGAAAATATTTGCAAGTGATGTATTTAGTAAGGGGTTAATATCAAAAATACATAAAGAACTCTTACAACTCAATAACAAACAAACAAGTAATTTGATTAATGCGCAGAGGATCTGAACAGACACTCTTGCCAAGGAAGACATATGTATGGCCAGCAGGCACATTAAAAAAGATGCTCAATATCCCTAATCATTAGGGAAATGCAAATCAAAACCACAGTGAGATATCACCTCATATCAGTTAGAATGGCTGTTATCAATAAGACAAGAAATTACAAGTGTTGACAAGAATATGGGAAAAGGGAATCCTCATACACTGCTTGTGGGAATGTAAATTAGTACAGCCACTATGGAAAACAGTATGGAAGTTCCTCAAAAATTAAAAATATAACTGCCATATGATCCAGCAATTCTACTGCTGGGTATTTATCTGAAGAAAATGAAAACACTAATTCAAAAAGATATATGCGGGGTGCCTGGGTGGCTCAGATGGTTAAGCGTCTGCCTTCAGCTCAGGTCATGATCCCAGGGTCCTGGGATCGAGCCCTACATCCAGCTCCTGGCTCAGCGGGGAGCCCGCTTCTCCCTCTCCCTCTGCCTCTCCCCCTGCTCATGCTCTCTCTCTCTCTCTGTATCTCTGTGTCTTGAATGAATAAATAAAATCTTTTTAAAAATTTTGTAAATAAAAAAATATATATATGCATCCCTACACTCATCACAGCATTATTTATATTAGCCTAAATATTGAAACAAGTCTCCATCAATGGATGAGTGGATTAAGAAGATGTGGTATATATATACAATGGAATACTACTCGGGCATAAAGAAAAGAATGAAATCTTGCCATTTGCAACAACATAGATGGACCTAGAGGATTAAGTTAAATGAAATAAGTCAGAGAAAGATACCATATGATTTTACTTATATGTGGAATCTAAACAAAACAAAACAAAATCGATAAACAAAGAATAGAATGGTGGTTACCAGAGGGGGTGGGCTTGTGGAGTGGGCAAAATAGGTGAAGGGGGGTCAAGAGGTACAGACTTTTAGTTTTAAAATAAATAAATCCTTGGGGCGCCTGGGTGGCTCAGATGGTTAAGCGTCTGCCTTCGGCTCAGGTCATGATCCCAGGGTCCTGGGATCGAGTCCCGCATCGGGCTCCCTGCCTAGCAGGGAGCCTGCTTCTCTCCCTCTGCCTCTGCCTCTCTCTCTCTCTCTGACTTTCATGAATAAATAAATTTAAAAAAATTTTTAAATAAATAAATAAATAAATCCTGTGATGTAATAAACAGCATGGTGACTACAGTCAGTAGTATTGTAGTGCACATTTGAAAGTTGCCAAAACTTTCAGTGGCTCATCATTGAACAGAAATGGAATCAGACTGTGCTATTTCTCGGATTATGGAGTAGGATGCTTAACTTAGCTTTTCTGTGTTTTCATTTGCCATTCTTTATTTGTTATATATTTTTAAAGGGGGTAGAGAATTTACAATATCTATGTCAAAGGTGTTTATGATATATGTATCATATATGAAAACCTAGCTCTAGGAAGGTACTCACTAATAGTGAAGGCTATTCTGAATCTGGCATTCAGAGACCTTCACATATCACTTCCCCTTTCTCTTCCTTTCTTCCCAATGCTTTGGTAACACCAGATGTTTTTTATCATACATTAACATGCCATATACAATTTATACATTTACTTCTCTATTCCCTATGCTTGGAGTGTGCTTCTCCCCTGTTTTCTTATTCACTTCCCAAGGTTTATATCGGTTGTCCCAATAGCTCTTCAACTCTCTAAACAGGTTAATTACTCCCTCCCATGTATACCCATGGAAATTTAATGAGAGCCCTATAGCTGCTCTAACCATCTATCACAATGCATACACTTTTGTCTCTGCCATAGATGATGAGCTTCTTAAAGGCAGAAATCATATCTCACTCATCCTTCTATAGATCATAAGACGTGCTCCATAAATGTTTGAATGAGTCAGTGAGTAAATGGGAAAGATTAGAAACCATCAATTTGTATTTATTTTGGAGTCACAGAGAGTGTTCACATCACGTCAGGAACTAGGAGCAGTAAATTAAGATTGTTTAGTTTAGGAACTAAATTTTTAGACCTACATAAGTATGCAAGATCATCTGAAGAAGACAGAATGGCTCCAGGCCAGCAGGACTCCACAGAAACCAACTTGACTGTACTAATAATGTATTTAAAGAAAGAATGGGCCATTTAAAGAAGAGTGGATTAACCCTAGTAAGCTTAGAAAATAAGGGTCACTGTGGCAAGACTTGATCGTGGCTCTTTGGAGTACTTTCCAGGAAAGAGTCAGCTTTCTAGTTTGAGTCCCAACTGTAAGGCTTTTCATGGAGCACCATAGGTACCATCATCTTATTTTAGCCCAGTGCTGTTAAGCATTTGTGCCATGTAGCTCTCATTTGTGTTCTCATTTATGCTCATCTCATAGCCTTTAAATCTTATTCTTCCCATTATAAACTAAAAATTGATTTCTGATTGTGATTTGGCTTCTCAAGTGGACTCATCCATTATAGACTTCAGTGAGGAACTCCATGAGAAAACTTACACACCTTCAAAGCTAAAGCCCCAGTCCAGTCAGCTTTCCTTTGGATAATATTTTTATACCACTTTTGATTGCAAAATAGACCAGTGTCTATACCTAGTACATAAAATGAGTCGATGAGAACTTAAAACTCTCCCACATCTGCCTAAGTTGATTTCTATCACCAACATAGCTAAAATTCTTATCATTATTCTTCCTTCTAAAAGTCCTGTTAGTTAACTTGGTAAAGGGATTATATGACCTAGGAACACTGCTAAACTTAAAACCTAAGGTTATGAGTTTGAGTTGATTAGACATTTTGTTTGCAAGTCACAAAGACTGACTCAGTTTGTCTCAACAAAGGTGAGTGTATTGGAAGGATACAAGTGGCACTTAAAAAGAAGGAACATCATAGGAATCCAAGAAGGCCTAGTGGGCAATAGAAGAGTCAAGATCCAAGCATGAGAGCAAGAGGATTATGGTTTTGCCTCTCAGCATTGAGAGCTCAATAATTTTCAGTTTTGTGCTTCACCATTAATGGACTCTCTCTAATGGCTATTTCTGGCTCTCTGTGTATTCCCTTCTGTTTTTGTTTTGATTACTTGTTGACATCTGTCTTCATAAATATTCAAATATTCACAGAGGGAAATTCATATTAGACCTCAAGCCACTGTCATTTATGTTCAGGCAGAGCCTTTGCAACATGTCTCATCTGAGGCTGCTAGCCAGCCTATAGGCAAGTGCCCTGGGGTCAGGTTCTCACCAGTACAATCACCTATCGTGAGGCAGGGCAGTTGAATGGTTAGAAGCTGATCACCTATGCCTCAGACACCCAGGAGGTCCAAACATGGGGTAGTTCTCATAAGAAGCTGTGGGTTGGCAGGAACCTATAGGTTAATAAAGCCAGATAATTAATCCATAGAGCCAGAGAACTCAAATGTAAGTATGTGGATGGGCTACATCAGAATCTCCTGGGATCCTTCTAAAAATGGAGAATTCTGGGTTTCACTCTAGCCCTACTAAATTAAAATCTCAAGGGATGGGATTAGAGAATATATATTTATTCTCTAAGTGACCACAGCTTTGACATTGTGAGGGAATGGAACTATGTGAAGGATGGGAAGGATCAGACTGAAGGTTAGAAAGTCTTCCTGGGGGCACCTGGGTGGCTCAATCCATTAAGCGTCTTGACTTTTGATTTCAGTTGGGGTCATGATCTCAGGGTTGTGATACAGAGCCCTACGTTGGGCTCTGCACTGGGCATGGAGTGTGCTTGGGATTCTCTCTCTCCTTCTATCCCTCCCCACCTCACGCATGCACGCATGCGCACTCTCTCAAAAAAATTGAATGAATGAATGAATGAATGAATGAATAAAAGAAAGTCTTCCTGATTCTCTTAATAAATTTGTAGGGGAATTCTAGTGTACTATAGTGGAATTGTGGCTAAAAACACATCTGAAAAGTAAAAGTGCTGAGGTGTGATAATTTCTTACAAAGAATTTTAAATTGTAAGGAATATGTTTCCCTGTAGATTCTAGAGTTTACACAAATGACAGTCTGAGAGACCAACAAAAACTAATGTTAAACTCAACCACCATGAACTTTTGGGATGGCCTTAAGCAATGTTGAGAGCTTGCTTCATTTTCTTTTTTCCTTATCTATAACAGGTATATTTGGTAAAATATCATAAGCAACATATAAAGGAATTTTTTCAAAATGCTACCTGAATTATAAATAAAATTTTCATGAAATAATTTAAGAAAATCTTTTATTTTAATGGAAGAAAGGAAACTATTCTTTAATGCTTTAAAGGAAGAGTGATTTAATACAGATATTTCCTAATAATATTACTATAAAAATAAACACATACTTCTTCTAGATATTATCTTTATTACAAAACATATTTTATGTTGAGGTAACATTTCAAAGGATATTTGGCAAAAATCAATTGAATTTTATATACACAATTTCATTATGTGCAACATATGTAAAGGACTTAGAGAATAATTTTTTCTAGCATTGCACATAGACTGATTTTAGGAAAAAAATAAAGCTAAAAGTTATCTATTTAAAGAGGGATTTCTTTCTGTTTTTCTCCCCCACCCAGTCTTCCATATCATATCACCAGTGGTGAGTGACGCACTGTTCATGAGAGTTCCACAAAAAGCATCAAAAAGGGTAAGTTACTTGAAAACAAAGTTTTGTTTATCCAGAATACCTCACTGTGCCATAATTTGAAAGTGCTTTCAAAAACTAAATACTGAATCATATAGGATTCACTATTGCTTATCCCAAGAATGAACAGAATTCTCTTGTCTTCAATGGGGAAATCTTATGCAGTGCTCCAACTCTAGTGTCTTTTCTGCTGTGAAGCCCTCCTGGATTTTCCAAGGCAAAGTTGGGCCCATCTTCTGTGCTCCCATATATTTTGTTCATACCTCCTACAGCACTTACCACACTGCATTGTAATAATTCTTGTTTCTCTCATATGTATCCCTGTTTAGCTTTTTAAGTTTATCTATCCCTCTATAAGCTCCTCAGGAGCAAGAAACAAGCCTTAAGCTTCTTTATATCCCAGCACCTAGCACAGTGCATGGTACATAATAGAACCTCAATAACTGTTATGTTAATGAGTTAGCAACTATTTCAGGTGTGAAGCTATAATGCACATCTTTCCTTGCTTCCAGTCTCATTGAGTGTGTTCTGGTGTCCTCTGACAGTATTTAAACCCCTATAAATTGGTGACACCCTAGAAACAAATATATCCAGCATTTCCTTTCAGAAAGAAATGGCCTCTGTTTGTCCTTCTGATAAAAAAAAAAACAATAAATTATTGTTATAATGATTTCCCTGTTCTCCAACTCCGAAGCTGAGAGCCACTTCTTGGGGAAGTTGTTGCTAATAGCCATCTTGGCAGTCATTGTCATCTTGATCCCCAATGGGTTTGTTGTGATAAGTATCAACTGTTAATTTTCTGCTTTCTATCTCAGTGTTTTTTGAGTGGCCATCTTCTTCACTGCTTGATTTGCTCTCAGTAGAGTTGCTGTCTTCTTTTGATTTGCTGCTGTCCTGAGAATCACTGGCATCATCTTCCTCAGACTGGCTGTCCTGCTCAGACTGGCTTTCTTCACTCTGGCTCTCTGCTGAGGCACTGTGAGACTGGAGGCCCTCCTGGCTAGAACTGTTCTCCTCCTCAGTGGACTCTGGGCTCTCCTCTGAGTCTTTGAGGCTTTCACTGGATTCACTGTCAGCTTGCTCCTCTGTGGATTCACTTTCTGAACTGGAGGGTTTATTCAAGCTATTCTCTTCACTGGAGTCACTATCTTCCTGATCTTCTGAGTGACTGGTGGTGTTATCTGGGTTGTCACCCCTGGACTCACTCACTGCCTCTTCCTGAGATTCACTACTATTTTCCTGAGATGGCAGATCAACCTCTTGACTGGACTCACTACTGGGGTCTTGTACATTTTGACTGTCTTCTTGAGACTGAGTCTCCTCACTCTCTTCTAGAGATTCACTCTTGCTGTTTTCCCTGGATTGGCTGAGGCCAGCTTCTTTGGAGTTGGTGTTTTCTGTTGAGTCACTCTTGATTTCTTCCATTGTGTTGCTATCGTCAAGCTCACCTATATCGTCTTCCTCAGAAATATGGGACTTTCTGAAAATTTTCCTCCTGAGATACTCCACTGATTGGCTATCAGCTGAATCCTGAGTGCTTGCTTGCTCATCACTGTTTCCTTTCGATTCTTCTGATTTGACACTAGCACTGTTCATTCTGGAGTTACCTCTGTCACTCCTGATAATGTCTGGATCATCATTCTGCATTTCTTCATCACCAAACTCAGAGCCATCCCCATAGCTACTATCCCCTTCACTGCCTCCTCCCACCCAGTGCTCCTCACTCTCACTCTCTTGAGCAGAGTCACCTCTCTCAGGCCTGCTGTTCACCTCATCCTCATTGTCAAGGTCCCTGCTCTCACTGGTGGTATCTTGGGTACTGTCTTCTCCTTGCAGGGCACTATCTTCCCTGGATTGTGTGATGTCAGCTGAGTACTCATTACTTTTGAGTCTGGAGTTTCCTCCTTGTCTCTCTTCAGGTCCTGGGCCATTATCATCATCACCAAAAGTGTCATCTCCACTGTCATCTTCATCATCATCTTTATCATCTCCTTCTTTTCCTCCACTCCTAGAGAGGCCATCAGCTGCCCTGTGCATATTTTGATGATCATCAAGGCCCTCCTCTGATTCAGCACTGTCACTGGGGTCTTCATTTGCCTGAAGTTTGGGTTAACAAACATGGTCAGTACTCCAGGAGCTGATATAGAGGATGTTATCTATTCTCCTCCTGCTTTTTTCTTATGTCCCTCCTTCTAATCCATGGTCAGTTTTCCTGCTCAATAACATGTCTACCAGAGGTTAAGGAGGAAAGTAGAGGAGTTGAAACTCAAGTCATTCCATTTTATATAGGCACAATTCACTCAGTGCTACAGAAACTTTCTTTAAAAGCTCTATAGAAATCACATTCATGAAACTCAAATCATATTGTAAGTCTGATTCCTGGAAGAAACTCTCAGAGAATTTTTTTTTTTTTTTTTTTTTTTGTACATTAAAGAGATGTTTGAAATACTCATCAAATTGTTTGGCTTAAAACAGTTTTTAAAAACTTTAAAACAGATTTTAAAATGACAAATATTTTTTTCTTATCAACTCTGGGGGGGGCGGAATGTACTAAGGCAGTAGAATGAAACTTTTAGCTAAAATGAAAGTAAAATATTGTGGTAAGATATACATCTCACCCATACCATATTTATACTTCATTCACACTGGCAGAGGGTTGCCTGTAGAAGGCTTAGCTAGGAGACTGCAACTAGTGGGACCACCAGGAAGGCTTAGTTCTAAGTGTGAGCTCAGAGAGATTATCCCCGTAAGTCAAACAATTGGAAGCACTACACAGATAAGGAAGGATAGTGAGTCTTCATTCATTATGCTATGGAAAAATCTGCTCTCTTTACTATACCCCATAGCAGAGCATTCTTGCTGACTTTGTTTTTATTTTTCCACTTGTCCCTACTGATCAATATCTGACTTTGCAGTTGGGAGTACCTAATGATGACATCTCCTCCCGTTGCTAGAGTTTACACTGGTATGCTGGAACTGAGCATCTTTTTAGCTCCCCATACCTCAAAAGGCACATATTGTACCCTTCTCAAGCAGGTACTATTATTCTCATTTGAGAGCTCGGAGAATATTAAAGCAATAAATTATAACATCTCCAGAAAACATCCCCAATTCTATGCTTATAAATTCCTAGAATGTTCCTCAGACAAACCTTTAGTAAACAGTGGTAAAAGACTAATAAATCATCTTCCAACTGGTTGAGTATAGAATACAACATGGATCAAAGCTTCAAGGAGAAACCTGGTTCCTGGAATCTCTGGAGCCCCACGGGTTTGAGTTTCATCAAAATGATAGGACAGCCAAGAAAGTAATGACATTTAGTCTTGGGAAAATGAAAAAAAAAAGAAAAAAAAGAGTGCACACACAAGAGAAAGAAAACCAATTTTTTTCTTAAAGGATTATAATTATAAGTCAGCTTTTCTTATTACGAGGGTCGCCACTGAGATTGTTTTAAAGACAAATCGTTACTAAAAAAGCTGTTTCACTAAAGTTTCTTCAGGGCTTTCCTACTCTCTGCTCCAACAAGATCCTTGACATGGAGGAGATCTCTAGGCCCAGCAGGTACTTCATGTTAGCCAGGAAGCTTTCTCTGTCTGATCTGAACTGCTCCAATTGTAAAAGCAGTATTTTAGAGTGATAAATGAGCTATTACTTGTCTAACATAGTCTAGGACCATTTGTGTGTGTGTGTGAGTGTGTGTGTGTGTGTGTGTTCTTTTTAATTAGAGGACATCGGGGGCCACAATGTCTATAATCTGGCCCCAGTGATAAGTATGGAATGAACAGCATGTCCACATCTGAATTCTCCCACTCATTTTTCTCTTCTTACTTTATGGGGTGATTTAGCTAGCATAACCAATGGTTAGAAAATATTACATTTAGAATGGTTGCAGGTAATTTAATCTAACATCATTTCCTTCGATTCCTAAGTAGCCTGAAAAGTTAAGAAAGGTCTGTTTAATTACCTGTTCCTCGGAGCTAACTTTACTGTCTTCTGATGACTCACTGCTCTCCTAAAAGGAAAAAGAAAAGTTGTTTATTTTTCCTTTTAGCAATTCCCAAGGAAAGAAAAATATGATACACATAAATTGCTTGCGGTTTGGATTTACTGCTGTCCAAGTGGCCTAAGGTGATGAGAAGAGTGTTAAAGTAAATTTACTGTATGAGGTGTTTATAAAAAAAAAATTGAATGAGATAGTTACCAAAGGTGGTGTTGGTGTCTGTGCCAAATGACCCTGTAAAAAAAGGAAGGAAAACAAGTTACTCCTTTAGAGACGGATCATGTCTTGCAGATATTTAAAATAATTTTAGTTGATTTTTTTTAGTTTCTTGATACAGAGTTTACGTTTACATGAGTAATAATGACATTTTATGGTGAAATGGCTAAAAAGAGGATGTGAGATGGCCTGATGGCCTAGAAAGATCTTGTGATCTAAAAGACGTAGAAGATTGTTGTGTTTCTGATATTCACTTAGAGAAAAATATACTTTCTTTGAAGTGGTTGTTTGTACAACCTAGATAAAATGTAACATAGGAAAAAAAAAAAACAGCATTGGAATTTAGAACCCAGATTTAAGTCTCAATTAGCTCCTTGGTTTTGGTTTTAGCCCTGAAAACCAACTGTCTTGGTTTTAGTGCTGAAATTCACATGTTCCAGGAAACCCAGAAGTCTTGGATAAACTGTGATGTTTGGTCACTCTATGTGAATCTGGGCAATTCACTTCACCTTTCCAACATCAATTTCTTCTTCATAAATTAAGAATATTAGCAACCACTGTGCATACTCCATAGAGTTACTGTGAGGACGAAATTGGAAGCATCTTGAGAACTATTTAATATGATATAAACTAAAGAAATAATCCATTTTGAGAATATCTCATTATAAAATTCAGTGATAGATAAAACTGAATTGAGAAAGCCATTAAACCTTTCTCAAATCGCATAAGATCACACACACACACAACTAAGTCTGAAACTTAATTAGGCATCGTTCTGATTTATTTCACTTTTTTTTGATCTTATAAGAACTCTTAAGATTGCCTGTGCCACCTCTGGTGCCTTCTCCGCATCTACACTCCCCCTTCCCCAGAAGCACAGCAAGATCCCAAAATCCCTTTTGGTTCAAAGCTGCTGAGCCATGAGTGTGAAGACCTGAGGTGCAGAGAAAAGCAGGGAGGAGATGCTATCAGCGTGTCTTCAACAAGCCTCCCAACATGCGAGGCAGGGGTATCTCCCCAGACGTAGGAGCTCTGATCACTTAGTCTTTGCCCTGTGACACTGCAAGCAGGCACGATGGCAGACTCTCAGAGAGAACTCCGTCAGTTATCATTTGGAATTAAGGGCTAGGAGGGAGCGAGACATGGGTATTTTTCTCATACCAAAGCTAGACTTGAGAACCTAACGTGTTTGTGGTACTCTTAGAGTCTTCGGTTGAATGAGAGAGAGGATCTATAGTGGCTGCTTTTCAATTAACCAGCCGAAGGACATCTCTGATGAGAGTTCATCTGAGAAATGCTGCAATGCCAATTCCAATCTCAGGCAGGGACAGAACCCCATCTCAAGCCTCTGACATTATCTGGCAACTGCTAATAATGTTGTGCCCAAGCTGCAGTGTATGCAAAAGCCAGCAGGTAACAAGGTCATGAACAAAACACTCTGACCTAGCATAAGATTTTAAGCCTTCCTTGTAGTTTCAATCTTGAGAACCTGTTGCCCTCCTAGACTTGGCCCCTTCCTGAGAGGGATATAACACCCTAATAGAGAATGTGGATTCTGGAGCCAGAGTGACCTAGGTTTAAAGTCTGGCTCTAACACTTACCACGTAACCGAAACAGACTAGGTTACTCTCTGTGTCTCAGTGTTCTCTTGTAAAGCACATAAAACAGCCTAGCAATGGTTCTTGAGTTCTTGAGAATTAGTAACTGTTGGGTTATTCAGAGTTAACGCTCAATCAACATTAGCTATTATTCCAGAGACTCTAGTATCCTCTCATTCTTCTGTCTTTTCTCACTTTCCAGGACTTGACCTCCTGCCTGCCAGACATCTCCTGGTAAACAGATTTCTAGTCCTAATCCTTTAAAAGCAGCCTTGGTTCACTGTCATCCCTTCCCTTCCACTATTGCGGACATCATTATGAAAATAAAGCTAAAGGGGTAAAAAAAGCCTCCTCACTAAATTATACTACTAAGTTGAAGTTGAAGCATTATATGAACTAAATTTTTTCACATGAACTAGAAATTATAGCCCTTACTACCTATATCTTAGGTTATTAAGGTATTCCTTAAATCATTAGCAGTTTCAATATTTGTGGTGGAGTTAATATATTTAATAATATATTAAATTAAAAATATTTTTTAAAAACCTTATTTCTACTCACCTTCCATTCTTCAGAGCTCTCAGATTCAGTATTTTGATACCTGGCTACCTAGAAAATTTAGTACACAGGGTTAACTCACAGAGAAATTTCCAAGGCAGTAGCTAGTAACACTTTACATATGTAGGAGCAGTGATGGTCAAATTTCAGCATGAATTAGAATCAGCTGGAGGCCTTTTAAACCACAGATTGCCCCATCCCTAGAGAGTCCGGCTCAGTAGGTCTGAGGTAGGACCCAAGAATGTACATTTCTAACAAAATTCTAGTTGATGCTGATGCTGCTGGTTGGAGGATGACACTTTGAGAACCACTGCTGATGAAGAAAAATGAGAATCATAGCTATATGATTGAACAGAATAAGGAATAACTCAGATAATTTTTTTTTTGAAGATTTTATTTATTTGACAGAGAGATAGCAAGAGCAGGAACACAAGCAAGGGGAGTGGGAGAGGGAGAAGCAGGCTTCCCGTGGAGCGGGGCTCGATCCCAGGACCCTGGGATCATGACATGAGCCAAAGGCAGACGCTTAATGACTGAGCCATCCAGGTGCCCTTCGGATAATATTTTAAAGCAAACAGCTTCCTAAGAAACTACTGTTTTCATCTGACTAGAACTTATACAGGCACGTTGGCTTATAGCCAATTAACATTGTGGAATTTTAGGTATAAAAGGTTTATTTCATATATCCCTACCCTGATACTTACTGGAAGAGCACAGGACAACCCCCAAAGGAACATAAGCAGGATGCTGGTCTTCATAGCTGGGTGTGACACCTCTACCTGTGATAAGGACAGAAGATGTTTTCCTCTATGCTAAAGAAATATAGAAGTTTTAACTTTTTAACAGTTTCTTCCTATTAAAAAACACAACTTGTCCTAATGTCCATCAACTGATGAATAGATAAATAAAAGGTACTGCATTCATACAATGGAATATTATTCAGCCATAAAAAAGAATGAAGTACTGATACATGCTACAAAGTAGAGGAACCTTGAAAACATTATACTGAGTGAAAGAAGCCAGACACAAAAGACCACATATTGTTTGACTACAGTTATATAAATTGTCCAAAATAGGCAAATCTATAGAGACAGAAAGTAGGTAAGTGTTTTGCCCAGGGTTGGAAGAGATGGGAGTTTGGGAATGACAGTTAAGGGGTAAATTTTGGAGGCGATGAAAGTGTTCTAAAAGTGATTTTGGTGAAGGTTGCACAACTCTGTGCAATGGCTAAAAATTATTGAACTGTACACTTCAAGTTTGTAAAGTGTATATTGAATTATATCTCAATAAACAGGTTAAAAAGAAACTTTACTTCTAAGAGATAAATTGGAAACGTTTCAATGAGGAGGTCTCTAAACACTTCTTCCCTAACACATAAAATATGATAAATGGAACAAGTGAGGAGGAATAGAGAAATTTCTGACCAATCACTTTTATGGTAATTACGCACCTTAGTGTGGCACAGCAACCTGGCAAATATACACATAACACAAAATTTAGTGATACCATTGATAGGTCACCTACATTTGTCTACACACACACACACACACACAGACACAAAGTACTTCTCATTCCCATTTATAACTTCATAATATTTAGACAAAATAGAATGGTTTTGTGCTTTTTTTTCTTGATCTGAAGTATGGCAGGCTTCATATTACAACTCCAGAAAGCTCTTAATATCTACTGTGCTACAGTTGGTCATACATTATACATAGATTGTGCTAAATTCTTTTAAATGTCACTCATGTTACTGAAGGATCTCGGGAAGATAAGACGTTTGGGATATACTTGTGAATCATGCTGAGTAAAACCTACCAGATCAAACTGTATTTTCCTGGATGGTGGCTTCATTTCACACTTCAAGAACTGGTGATTTGGAAAACAACTTGTTCTGTATCTAAAATAGATGTACTACATGCTAATGTAAAAAGTTACTGAAATGATTTAAAGGGAAGATAATTTGCCCTGCACTTGTAAGCCCTGTGGCTGCCCTAACCAGTTTGTCAGATGGATTTCCAGACATTTTGTGAAAAATGTTGCAAGTTTATTTCAGACTTTAGTTTTGTTTTTAAGGTGCTGCAAATGATTTTAACCTCTGATCTAGAAAATAAGAATACACTGCTCACTAATGTCTGAATATGCTGAACAGTGCCTGTAACATGGCTCCAGAAGTCATTCGATCTTATTTTTTTAATTTATTCAAGAAAACAGTAGAAATCCTAAGAAGACTGAGAATGTTCCTCATTTCTACTTTCGTACAGCCCAAATGGCCCAACAGATTTCTCATTTTATGTCATGAACATTATCGTACTTCAACATAGTTATTTTTCATTCATATTATTTTCTTTATTCTGATTCAACATAGTTCATATTAGTCCTTGTATTTTGATATTTTTATTTCTTTTTCAAATCTTCTGCCTAATATTAACAGGAAAAACATAAAAATGCTCAACTGCATCTAAAACAAGCCTAATTTAAAAAGATATTATTTCTGAAAGAAACCAGAATATTTTACATCCTAAAATATGCCTTGACATAATTATTTTGAGCTGAAGGCCCTTGAGAAACAGCAGATGCAAGAAAGATGCTCTGATCCTCCTTTTTATTCCTGAAAGCAGGAAACTCGCATGTGAAAGGTGGCTTCCCTGTACCCAGAGGAGGGAAGACATTCTCATCCTCAGAGATAAGGGGTCAAGGCTGAGAGAAATCTGTACAAACAAACCTTGTTAAACTAATCCTATCTTCCCAATCACTTCCCTACAATTTACTGCCCCAGCCCAAACCCTTTTGTCTTGTCAGTTCTTCACAGAAGTATTGTTTCTTTATCTAAAAGGTAAAAAAAAGTGGGGCGCTCAGTCGGTTAAGCGGCTGCCTTCAGGTCAGGTCATGATCTCAGGGTCCTGGAATCGAGTCCTGCATCAGGCTCCTTGCTCAGTGGGGAGCCTGATTCTCCCTCTGCCTGGAGCTCTCCCTTCTCGTGCCCTCTCTCTCTCTCTCTCTGACAAATAAAAATCTTAAAAAAAATAAATAAATTTTAAAAAATAAAAGGTAGAAAAGCTTTCTACTCTGGTCACTCCTTCAGGTCTTCATTCTCTTATGAAGGCTATCATCTGCATGTAAAAATTTTAATAAAACTTAAGTGCTATCCTCCTGTTAATCTGACTTATGTCAGTTTAATTCTTAGGCCCAGTGAAGACGCTGCGAGAGTAGAGGAAAATTTTTCCTCACCTCTATTTCTCCTTAGTTCCCACAATCAAAACTTTTTGTTTTTTTAAGTTCTTAGGTCCATTTCTTAAGGAAAGCAGAGTTTCCTCTAAATATGATACTCTCAACTGCATGCCAGTGGTTTTGTCATCACAGGTCAAATGAAAATTAGGCTGTTCACCATTTTAATTTTCAAACTGAAACTTGAATAAGGTGGTAATCTCATGATGTTCTGAAAGCTAGCAGTATTTCAGACTTGATACAAGGCCAGTAACTACTGAGTTCTCCTCTTGTTTTTTTGTTTTTTGGGGGTTTTTTTGCTTCTCTTTTATCTAAATAGCAAAAAAAAAAAAAAATTAGGTGATACACTACACTAAAGAACGTTGGGCTTTTTACAAAGGAAATGTGTGCTTCCAGCATTCAAGTTTCTTAGGGATGGAATATTATGAAACATAAAAGAAATGCAGTAACTTGTTTGTGCTTCTAAAAATACCATTTAGCGCCCTAAGTGGTGCTAAATGGATACAGCAGTGATTTCCCAAACTAAAATAAAAGACACCCTGGAGTCCTAAAAGAGCTGAAGTTGCCTCTCACAGAATATAGTCGGCCATTGAGCATTAAAGGAAGTCAGATCTTAAACCCTATATTAGGCTTTCAATTAGTATTTTTAGAAGAAGAATTATGCTTTTGTGAAGTGTATTCCAAATGAAAGCTGCAAACGTTTATAAACTTTGTAACTACCATCCTGAAAAGGGTAGAAGCAGATATGCGGTAGCCCATATGCAGTAGCCCTATTCTGAATAATAAATTAGCAAAATAGCTACAGACCTTCTTGAAAGAGATCAGTCCAGAACCCCAAGTTCTTTTTTGGTGATGGGTAAATGTAATTTCTACATCGTACATGCTGTCATTCTACAGTGAAAGCATGTGACAAAAAGAAATCAGTAACCTCAACTTGTGTTCCACCTGCTTGAAGGGCAGTGGATATAAAAGATTTTCAACTTTTCTCACTTTTTCCCCAGAGTTGAAAAGACTCAAAATATTTAAGATCTGAAGTAGGGAATTGCAGTCTCTCTCTGGCTACTCTCAAATATAGCCAGAAATTCTTTGTGCTTTCAAGAAAGGAGACTTGTTCTGAAATTTCCTCCAAGTTAAGGTTCACTTGTAAAGTATATATCTTCTTTTATGTAAACTGAAATGAAAGCAGTAAGCCAAAAGAAGGAAATAAAAGCTTGAAAAATCATAGGCTCATTTTATTATGTTTGATTTGCTTATTCATTATGTTGATTAAACAACTTAGTATTGTTATCTTCAATAATACAAATGAACAATATATCCATCCATTAGCAGTCAACAAATACTTATTGAGAATATCCTATGAGCCAGGCACTGTTCTAGGTGCTGAGTGTACAGTAGTGTGTAATAATGATAATTAGCTGGTCCTACAAAAGTAAAATTATCCAAACCCAACTAACCAGAACCTCCATTAGCTAGGACTTGTTTCATTACTACTCTTTGAAAATAAAATGGAATTTGGCCAGGATATGAATTCTATCAGGAATTCAGAACACCAAACAAATAAGGCAATAAAAATATCCAATCCTTCCAATTGTAATTGTCTTAAGTCAGTTATAATCAATCCCACATCATATGCCTTCAACCATAGTAAAATAACTCCAAGGTGCCCTAAAATTCAACATAGATTTGGAAGGCCTCTAAGCATCTGAGGCACATTGGTCCACATTACCATTTTGGGGTAGGTAAGTGGACTGATGCTTTTAGAAAATTGTTTGTTCACACATTTTAACCAACCACATCAAAGTAGGATAGTCTATTTGACCCTCAGGTACACAGAAAGCATGGTTCACTAGAAGTTACTGTTCCTAAAGAAGACTGGTTGCTTGAAGTATTGCTATTACATGTGGGATTTTCTAGATGTAATAGAGAAAGCATTACCTGACTACAATGCCCATTTTCCATTATGGAAGACACACTTATGATATAAATGAAGTGGAATAAATGCAGCAAATAAAAATATGGATTGGAGTATGTATATTCTTAGTCTTCTACATTAGAAAGTGTTTTTAAAAGACAGTTATATTCAACATCTTATTGAATTCTGACTGTGAGGCATCATGGTAACATGAATGCCTATGTAAACAATACAAAAGCATTGTAATTATCACATCCTTGGTTTATTTCAGTGGTCTTAGCATCTTTTTTTAGTTACTCAGTCCATAATGGGTATTTTTGGGTACTATCTAGATGAATAGCATTAAATGGTTTTTAATTTAAAAGACCATATATTGGGAGTCCTGCCAGTCTAGTTTAGGTTCTTTCATAATATTTTGTAGGCCACGAACAACACTACATCCATGAAACCTAAATGTAAAAGTTTTATTTGTTTTGCTAATTAAAGCTAACCTTCAAAATTACCTTCCATCTGTCTCCTGTTCAGTAAACTCTTCCTTTCAGAAGTACTATACAGAGATCTAATTAAAGTAGTACAGAGAAAAACATCTGGCTCTGTTGACTTAACATGTCATTTTCA